TTAAACATTTACATGATTCTCAGCGAGGAGTGATTTTAAATTTTATCTTTTGTCACCACCTGGTGGTAGAACATTTTGTCCACCCCCGTCCCCGTTTTTTGCACTCTTTTAAGTTCTTTTTGTTGTTGTTGCTGAGAAAAATATCTAAACCAAAAATACAAGTTAGTTAGCACCAATAGGCAATATTAAGTTTAGCATTTATAGTCAACTAAATTGTACACTAACCATACTATAGGGACTTAACAAGTATCTGCTTAACAAATGAGCATTTAATTTCTAAATCACAATATTCACAACCTTAGTTGAACTATATAAAGCTGTCAAATGAAAATGACCCGAAATATTAACTCCTCAGGGATAGGTGTTTTTGTTTGTTTGTTTTGATTTAAACTAGTAAAGCTAGAGGATAAAATTAATGGGCTAAGGCATTTTATTATGATTTAAGAAATGCAAATACATTTAAAGGTACAATATTTTAACTATATATAAATTCTAGAGAGATTTTGATAAAATTTATTAAATATGACTGAAAATGTGTGTCCTTTCCAAATTCCTCACTTAAATTACTAAGAAAAACTGAACTAGTAACATTTGTTGGCGACCGGCGCCACCTGGCGGATTGAAAAAGAGGTTGTGGCGACTCTGAATCTTAAGGTGGAAAGTTTTATTGCCAGAAAATTCCTATTTACAATTTAAATGAATTCCATTATGGAGAACAACAGCAATAACAAGTCTAATAACATATCTACCTATAAAAAGATAGTTAAAATTCCAAAGTGATCTTGGAATTTGATTAAAAATTTCTATTCAAGTCATTTTGGCTACAACCTCAGGCCAAGCTACTTAATCCTTTGCAATTCCATATCTGTCGAACAAGGACAGTGACTGGAGAGATTATACTGTGCTCAGTTCTTGGAAGTGCCTGACTTTGGGGATCACAGCAACTGATGGAGCCCAGATGCAATCTATAATATTTCTGTTTTCAGAGTTTGTTATATACCTGGGTGTTCAATCTGCTTAAAATAGATGTTTTCTACATTCTCATTTATGATCAAATAAAGCACCCATTTGTGCAAATATTATTTTGGACCACTTGTTCCCAAGTGATGCACTAATACCAAACAATTTTCCACTTCTATGATATGAGAAAATGAAGAAATAGCATTACTTGTTTATGAAACATGTGGATTAATCATTTTTGTAGGTAGTATATACACTAAAACAATACTAACAGCTGATGTTTACCAGATTTGTTCATTTTCTTTATGTTTGTTGAAAGTTAATTTGGTACAAATTTATTGCGAACTTTGAATATTATATCTAAAGTATACAATATATGCACAAATGAAACAAATACATACAGTATAAATAGAAATTAACGGTTGTGCAGGGTTTTTATATAGCTTAAAATGAAACTTTTTTCTTTCTTCTGTGTTAATAAATGATAAGATGCTTTTAAAATAGCAAACTGCTAAACCGAAAAATCTTTTGAGTCAAATATTTTAATAACTTTGTTCATCTCTACAAATATAAAAACTGGTTATGATCTATAAATTAGAACATATCAAGATTTCTGTTTATATAAGCATCTATGTAGCCTAAACAAAGAAAATCAGAACTGCGGTAAGGTTTTAGGGTTACATGCAATCTTTTCAGATGCACCTTCAATTCTAAACAAACATTTTATAAAATGTAGGAGTTTGAAACTTACCTAGGCCCACATTATATGTCTTTTAGTAGTGTATCTACAAAGTTTATTCCTTTGCTCTTGTTTCTATAGCACCAAATCCTCTTTTAATTCCTAAATCTGTTTACAAACGTATGTTAAAGGTACATATTTATGTAATTCCACAAAAGACCCAAAAGTGCTGATCTTAAAAAAAAAATGTATTCAATGTTCTGAGCATGGATAGAGTTTTTCAAGCTTAGTAATTGGCAACTCTTCCATCCATGCCTCTGTTGAAGTGATTATAAAAGAATCATTTCCCAGAACTACAGGTGCACAACAGATTGGAGTCATTATGCAAAAGGACAGAAATTTGGAGAAAAACCCAGTGAATAAAACAGTCATGTTCCTGGCCATCCACATGCTTCTAGCAACTGGTTTTTTTTGTTTTGTTTTGTTTTGTTTTCAGCTCTATATAGATATACAACATGCAATATGCACAAGTTTTAATGGGCTAGAAGAAAGTCATTCAAGATTAAAAATGTGTGCCTTGAATTTAAACCAACTTTCAACATTAGAACTCAGCAGAGGCAAAAATGGAAGAAAGCCCCAACTTGAATTACTATATTTTGAAAGTTGAAGTTGATGTAGGGGAGCTGACAAATTGGGGTGCACTAAACAGTTTTGCAGAAAATTACACATATTCTTCTGGTCTTCTGAATTCCCCATATTTTCCCCTGAGCTGGTGAGTTTCTTAGGGCCATGGCACCTTACCCCAATGACATCTCCCAATCAAGACATTCTTAGGGTCAGCAATGCTGTTTCCAGAACCGTCTTCCAAGCAAGAAGTTTGACAGTTTATCGTTGACTTTGTGATCAAGTTTTCATGATTCCATAGTCAATACTGCCTAAGTGTAAAGTGACTTTTCTTGAACTGGTCCTCCAATTACTTAAAAACAACTGTGACAGGGATTGTGGTGGACAATTCTGGGTGTCCAGGTGGAGGGCGTAATGTGGTGACTTAAATCTGGCGAGGTGTGATTCTGTACCTCTGAATCATGCAGCGTGTAAACAAACGTTTACTTCAATGAAAAGTAAAATTTAAAAAAATATCTGGAAACCAAGCTGAGGAGCAGGGGTGTTTGGGAAATGAAGCAAAGATGAATGAGTCAGGCAAGTCAGTGTGGAAATTTATGAAGCCATTGATGGGGTACAGTCACAATTAAATTTGAAGGAAAAATGGAATGGGATGGAGGGGGGCAAAGGAGAGACTGGGAGAAAGGAGAATGAATAAACACTGGGTCAAAATATTAAAGGGAGAGTGGAAAAATAAAGAAAAGAAGAAAACCAGGCCATTGAGATCCCCTTACCCGTTGTTAAAAATACACATAGTACCCAGGTAGCGCAAGCAGGCATCAGCCCTGACAGGACCCTGGCATCAAAAATCAGGCAAGAACTCAAGCACGCTTGAGTGCAGGAGTGGGGGGTGCAGGGGTCCTCATTAAGCCCAGTTGAGGAGGGAGCATTCCTCGTCCCTCCCCCCACCCATTTGCGTTCTTGCTCTTAGCAGCTTTCCTAGCAAGTGGAAAGCAAGGTTTTGGTGTGAGGAAGTTGGCAAGTATTATCAAGGAAAAGGTGGGAAGTCCAGAAGCGTCTGAGAACTGAAGAGGTTTCTTGAGGCTGAGGTATGAAGAAGGGAAGGGGAAGAAGTGGAAGGAAAGAGTGAAGGAAGAGCAGAGATAAAACCTAGTGACAGAAATGGGGGTGGGGGCAGCTTGGAGCACAAGGGTCTGTCCTGGGGCGGATGTTCTCACCATTGTCCCGGCGGTTTTCCGCCAAGGAAGCATTATGAAACATTTCCTTCCTCTGGGTCATTGAGCCCCTCCCTCTCTTTGGATGGAAGTGCAGCTCGACTTTTCCTTGGGGACCTAGAGATGGCCCAGGCACGGCACTGGGTGCTTTGCCAACTCGGAGAAAGCCTTCGCTCTTCCTGGTGGAGAAAGGGGCGCGCGATCGGATCTGGAAGGGCGCCGACTTCCTCATTTCCCCTTTGCACACTTTCTAGTTCCAGCGATCCTGCTGGCCTCGGGACGGAAAAGTGGGGTGCCTCCGCATTCCCGCCAGCCTGGCCTACGTCCTGCAGCTGCTATTCGGTTTAAGGAGTTCGACTGGGCGGGCCCTGACTCTGGAATGAAGGACAGAAAGCGCAATTCCCCGGCTAGACACTGGGGCATGGAACCGAGTTCCTGATCACCATTTCGGAAGTGTGAAGCGGGGCCCTACAGAAACTTCTCTGTGGAGGGAAGGGGAGAAGCAAATTCAAAGCGTCCGGGCAAACACATTACAAAACCAGGAGCTTGGGAAGTGTCTCCTGAGCCCCTCCCCCAGACATGCTTTCTAGAGGAGCCGCTGGGCCGACCCAACTTGCCCCGAAAAAAAGTTGGGGCGAAGAGAGAGCAGCAACCGGGGAGGTGGAATGGGACGTTTTCTAAAAATGACCGCTCTGGCTCACGTTTCAGATTGGGGAGGAGGGGGCGCCCAGGGTAGTTGGAGTATGAGAGTGGTAGGCGACCGAGGAGAAGGGACTCTGCTCTCCACCCGACGGTCCCTACCCGGGACTGCAAGCTGCGCGCGAACTCCGCTCAGGCACCCGAGGGCGGCCAGGGAAGCGGGCGGGGGTGGAAGAGAGAACCTTGCCCCGCCGCGGCCCTCGACGCGCAAAGTGCGGGTCACAGCGCCCCTTCTGAGTCTTCAGCGCGGGGACAGACGAGCGGCGGGCGCGGCGCCCGCAAGAGGAGGTCCCCCTCCCCCGCCGGGGCGGTCCGCAGCTCGGAGAAAGGGGGCGGCGTCTCGGAAAGGCGGCCGGGAGGGGGGAAGGGAGGACTGCTGTCTTTTTCGCGGACTATAAAAGGGCTGCCCGGGCTACCCGCTTCTTACATTCGCTGGAAAGCGGCTCCCAGCCAGGGCCCTTTTCGAAGCCGGGGCGCACGGCTGGACGAGAGAACTGAGCCCTGCGCGGAGCCAGCAGCACCGCGGTCAAGGCTGAGGCCGGAGGCGGGCGCCGGGCCGGATTCTCGCGCTGCCCCTGCCCCCTACCACAGAGGGTCTCCGGGGCGCTCCAGCCCGCCGCAGCCACGGGGCTGGGCTGTGCCACCCACTCTGCGCTGGAAGGAAAAACTTCCCGCGCTCCCGCTGCACTGCCGCGCGCCCCCCGGAGCGCTCAGCGAGCCCCTTCCGCGGCCGGCTCCGCGAGCATTTTGCAAGAATAACAGTAATTACTAACTTTAGGCGCCCGAAGCGAGGACTGCCAGTCTCCCGGCTCCCGAGCCAGACAATAGCTCTCCGGCCGGGAGCGCTGCAGCGCGCTCTGCTCGCTCGGGGCTCGGCGTCGAGCGTGGTCCCCTCCCGGTCCCGAAGGCGCGCGCCGGCCGGCGACATGGGAAACGCGGAACCGGCGTGGCCCGGTCGCGGCTCCCAGTCTGCGCCCGCCTGGCTGCTGCTCGCGGCGGCCGTGGTGCTGCTGGTGGTGCCCGGCGTGCGCGGGCGCCCGGCAGAGGAGGACGAGGAGCTGGTGCTGCCGGTGCTGGAGCGCGCCGCGGAAGCCGGCACCACGCGCCTCCGCCTGGACGCCTTCGGCCGCCAGCTGAACCTGGAGCTGCACCCGGATCGCGGCTTCCTGGCGCCCGGCTTCACGCTCCAGACCGTGGGGCGCAGACCCGGGCCCGACGCCCCGCTCCCAGACCCCTCCGGCGACCTGGCACACTGCTTCTTTTCCGGCACGGTGGACGGCGACCCCGGCTCCACCGCGGCTCTCAGCCTCTGCGAGGGCGTGCGCGGCGCCTTCTACCTGAGGGGCGAGGAGTACTTCATCCAGCCCGCGCCGGCCACCGCCACCGTGCGCCTCAGCTCTGCCGCGGGGGAGGAGCCGCCGGCGGGGTCCCCGCTCCACCTCCTGCGGCGGAGGCGGCGGGGCGGCGGCGCCAAGTGCGGGGTCGTGGAGGAAGAGTCCCGGCCTGCCCAGGCCCCCGGACCGGAGGGCGAGGACGCCGGGGCGCAGTGGTCCCCGCAGGATCGGGTGTCGACGCGCTCTGGACAGCCCTCAGGTATCCACCCCAGACGTCGCTCGCTCTCACTAGTCTCTCCATTCATCCCCTGCTCCCCACTTTCTCCATGCCGCGTGACTTGAGGGTAGATTCGGATTCGAAGGCAGCAGCGTACGTTTGAGGGCTGGACGAGATCTGGTGTGGAGGGATGTGACTTAAGGTTTGGGTTAGGGGATTGATCAAATCCGGCCAGAGCACAGTTTCGCTTGCCGGAAAGATGAATGATGCAAAGGCGACAGACAATTCCGCGATTTTCTGCTAACGATGGCAACACGTTTCGCAAGGGAAGCGAGAGTTAGTAACCCAACCCCTTCCACCTTCTCCGAGTGTGGGCGTGTGCAACTTCTTTCCATCTGTTAATTTCTGTTTTAACCGGCAGGCCTGTGTTCTTTGCTCGGGTGGCGACTTTGCGCTTAGTTTTGTAACCGCTGTGCAGAGGAGGGCGGAGCTGCAGGGCGGGGGAGCGGTGAAGACCTCGGGAAGTGCAACCCTGGAGCCCGGAGTGCGGCGCCATCAATTCTCTTCCAGCGGCCCCTGTCCCCTTCCCGCTTTTGAGTGGCGCACTCCCGCCGACCGGCGGCGACCCGGCCCTTCTGCCGAACCTGCTTGGGAGGTCTGGCCCCGCCTCCGCGCCATCCACTGAGCCCCGGATCTGTGCTCCCTCCAGCGGCCATAGTCCGCTCTCTAGTTCTCTAGCCCTGTCGGAAGTCACCGCTGGTCCTCCCCGCTACGCTTCCTCGGCCTGCTGTGGGCAGTGCTTACACCCCAGTTCTTTTCATTCTATCGCTCTGGTGCCTTTTTTCTTTTTTAATGGGCTTCGTTTTAGATTTCTCCTCTCATCCCCATTTGTATAAGCAGCAGTTAAGTCCCGATTTAGGTCCGAATTTCACCTAGGAGTGGGGGTCAGGGGAGCCTCTTTATTAAGCAGCAAGCAGCACTAGGCAAGGATTTATCTCCCCCGAAGCAATGGGAATAGTGCAGTAGGCTGCAGGGCAGAGTGGGTGGTCCTTGTGCCCGGATTTGGCAGGAGCAGCTGGCAGGAGCAGCGCATTGCACCCCGGGGACCCCTGGAATGAGAGAGCAGAGCTGTGCAGGCTGAGATTCCTTCGGGCCGGCCCCTTGGCAAAGGCCCCAGCCCTGCCCTGGCCTTCCACGTGGAGCCCGATGATCTCATTCAGGATTTGAGTGTCTGGCCGGTGAAAGCTGACTCAGGGTGCACTTCCCGCAGCAGCCCTTGCTCCAACTTTCACTACAACTCAGTGGGACTTTGCGCACACTGCCTGGCTCTGAAAGTAGAATTTCAAAGAGGATAAAAGAAATTCTATTAAAAAAGAAAGAAATGTGCATTGACCTGAGAGGAGCACATGGCATTTTATTTTAAGATAATATTTTCAGTGAAGAGAAATGCAGCTATTTTTACGAGCGGTGTTCCATGCATTATGCATTTTGGCTTCCTTTGCTTGGACTGGTTAGGCTCTCCTTAACGATCAGGGAAGGCAACTGCTCTTGGCTAGACTGAACATACTGCCTTTCTTGTTTCTTTACAGGAACTGGAAGTGTAAGAAAGAAGCGCTTTATATCCAGCCCCCGCTATGTGGAGACCATGCTGGTAGCAGACCAGACCATGGCAGAGTTTCACGGCAGCGGCCTAAAGCACTACCTCCTCACCTTGTTCTCGGTGGCAGCAAGGCTCTACAAGCACCCGAGCATTCGGAATTCAATTAGCCTGGTGGTAGTAAAGATCCTGGTCATCTATGAGGAGCAGAAGGGGCCAGAAGTGACTTCCAATGCTGCCCTCACATTACGGAACTTTTGCAACTGGCAAAGACAGCACAACACACCCAGTGACCGGGACCCACAGCACTATGACACAGCTATTCTTTTCACCAGACAGGTGAGAGGAAGACTACCATCTGCCTTTGAAATAAACAGACCATATAGGGCATCTCTTCTATAAGTTGACACTCATATATTTCTCATTGACTAGCATGGTCAATCATATTATAATTTCAGTGTTCAGAGTTTGATAGTCCTATTTGAATAGCCTTAGAAAAATCCTAGAGCCACATGAAATACTTCCAAAAGAACAGCTCAACAAAACTGAACACAGATGCGCCAAAACATACATCCTGCTGAAAAGTTAGGACTCAAGGTTCATGCCCTGTCCCTACTCATGAGACATACCTTTACCCCTTGTAGGACTTATGTGGGGCTCACACTTGTGATACTCTTGGAATGGCTGATGTTGGAACGATGTGTGAACCCAGCAGAAGCTGCTCTGTCATCGAAGATGATGGCTTACAAGCTGCCTTCACTACAGCCCATGAATTAGGTAAGTTCCTCTCACAGTAAGAACTCAACCCAATTCATGAATTCAATGTAATAAATAATACTAATTTAGGAATAAGAGGCTTCAGGTTATATTGCTACCTTAGGGACCAGGGCTTCCTGAAACCACAGAATCTATTTTTCCACTTTTCTAAACACAGTCATCTTTGTTAGAATCCAAAGTAAGAGAGTAGGGGCATATGGTCATTTGTCAACTGAGATGTTTGTTTAGACCCTATGAAATGTAGACATTGTCTACCCTGTCTCCACAATAGATGGTCTCTGAAATACATTTCTTCCTCATAAATACCACTTTGGACCAATGAATCCCTGTTGGAAAAAACAAATTCAAATAGCCTGTAGTTTAATGTGGGTGTCTAATTGCTTCTTAGGCCATGTGTTTAACATGCCGCACGATGATGCCAAACAGTGTGCCAGCATCAATGGTGTGAGGCTGGATTCCCACATGATGGCTTCCATGCTCTCCAATCTGGACCGCAGCCAGCCGTGGTCTCCCTGCAGCGCCTACATGATTACGTCATTCCTGGATAATGGTCATGGTAAGATGCCGCTGCTACTTTTTCTTAATGGCATCCAAGCTGCCGTGGGGGAGGTTTCTCATTAACGCAGCCATTTCTTTTTATTTTCCCTGCTTCCAAATAACTCCTACGTTCTCGCTCATGCATTTGAGACCGTAAGTCCCAATAAAAGACAGTGCTACCAGCCCAGAGCACCTCCAGTTATATTTTGTGCAGAATAGTGATTTTCTGTCATTGGTACTACAAAACTACCTCACTGAGGATAATATCTTCATGTCACTTTCTAGCATTTTGTCTAGTAATAATTCTGCAGCTTTCAAATCGCATTGCTATATATCGCTTCTTAGGATAAGTGTTTTCTGAAACAGCTTCCCCTCAGCCTGCTTTCATTTGCTCTTCATTAATACTGGTTGGCATTTTTCTTGGTAGGGGAATGTTTGCTGGACAGGCCCCAGAGCTCCATAAAGCTTCCCTCCGATCTACCTGGGACCTTGTACGATGCCAACCGACAGTGCCAGTTTACTTTTGGTGAGGAGTCCAAACACTGCCCAGATGCAAGCAGCACATGCACGACACTCTGGTGCACCGGCACCTCTGGCGGGCTGATGGTGTGCCAAACTAAACACTTCCCCTGGGCGGACGGCACCAGCTGCGGGCCGGGGATGTGGTGTGTCAACAGCAAGTGTGTGAACAAGACCGACAAGAAGCATTTTGATGTGAGTTTTTCTTCTGCCACCCATGCACACACACACCCCTTTAAAATTCAGAATGGAAAGAAGCAGGATAAGCTAAAAGATTGGAGACGATAGTAAACACCCATCTGTGTCCTCTGGTGGGAATCTGAGATAGACATTTTCACACGGATTGTTTGTCCCGTGTTTTTTCCCTAATTTCCTAACAGTTCTCTCAGGAGGGGTCTAACACCGATGATTTGTGCCTCTATTTAGACTCCTGTTCACGGAAGCTGGGGACTGTGGGGACCCTGGGGGGACTGCTCCAGGACTTGTGGTGGAGGAGTTCAGTACTCTGTGAGAGAATGTGACCACCCGGTGCCAAGGAACGGAGGGAAATACTGCGTAGGCAAACGCATGCGCTACCGGTCGTGTAACATCGAGGACTGTCCATACACTAATGGTGAGTAGGAATGGGACACCCAGAAAGACGTGCCCACCAATGGGAAGTGGAGGTTTCAAAACGGGTAATAACATCACGTGGTCTCCTCCCAGGAAAAACCTTCCGAGAGGAGCAATGTGAGGCACATAACGACTTCTCTAAAGCCCCCTTTGGGAGTGGGCCGGTGGTGCAGTGGGCACCCAAGTATGCTGGAGTCTCACCAAAGGACAGGTGCAAGCTCATCTGCCAAGCCAAAGGCATTGGCTACTTCTTCGTTTTGCAGGCCAAGGTAGGTAGTTGTGGTTGTATTTAGTTTTTTCCTTGGAACCAAAGCATTGCTTTCTCCTTTTTCAGAACTTCTTTGGTACACCCGCTTTAGTTTACTGATAGCCTCTATTTCACATTCAGACTCCTTTCTTTTTGGATACCTTGGTAACTGCATGCAGCATTGCAGGAAAATATGAAGCTTGAATCCAGTCCTCAGTGACGCTTGCAATTATTTATTACTGTTATTGCAGTTCTAAACAATGAAAAGTTCTTTTACTCATGCTCAGAGAAATTAACATGGCAACCAGGCAGTGGTTTTGCAAAATAGGTTGGGTCTGGTCCAGGGTCATTGTTTCTGGGGGACCAGACATTGCATATGCAGATGGACTTATTCAAACGGAAGTCTCGAATATTGATCAGTCTCCTGTTTGAGAACATATAGCAGAAGCCTCATGTTGCTGAGGGGAGAAATCTGGCTTGAAGATAGAAAATGGAATTGAATTTTGAATTTGGCTAAGATTATCATGTGTCACTAGCAGCTGACAGCTATAAAAAAAAACTCCCCAGTTACAGATTCCACATCCAATTAGTAAGCACCCACTTTTGCCAGCTACCAAGCATGAAGGACCTAGGAGTAAACAAACTGCCAAACTGCCAAAAAGCTGTTTTCATTGACCTAACTAGAAGTGAGGTAGGTTTATAAACAAATGACAGCAATACTATAAAGGGTATTGTGTGTTATGTATAGAGGACTGTTTACTTACAATCAAAGTCGAGATGTAAGAGTAACTGGGAAAGCTTTCGTAACCATACCATTACATCTTTCCTTGCTAGTTGACACCCCAGTTACACCAGAAACATGTTTTTCTTCCTTTAGGTGATAGATGGTACCTCTTGCAGCCCAGATTCCACCTCTGTCTGCGTGCAAGGCCAGTGTGTAAAAGCCGGTTGTGATCGCATCATAGACTCCAGTAAGAAGTTTGATAAATGTGGTATTTGTGGAGGAAACGGATCTACTTGCAAGAAAATATCAGGATTAGTTACTACTGCCAAGTAAGTCATATTCCCAAGTAGCTGATCCTTCAGATGTAACGTTCCCCAGGGCTGGTGAAAAATACATTCTAAATGATGACCATGATTTCCATTTATAAGAATTAACCGGTGAGTGACAGATTATTCTTTTTTTTTTTTTCCCTGTCTGCAGACCTGGATATCATGATGTGGTCACAATTCCAATCGGAGCCACAAACATTGAGGTGAAACAGCGGAATTCGAGAGGATCCAGAAACAACGGAAGCTTTCTCGCCATCAAAGCTGCCAATGGCACCTATATCCTGAATGGCAACTTCACCTTGTCCACCTTAGAGCAAGACATTATGTACAAAGGCAGCGTCCTGAGGTACAGCGGCTCGTCGGCAGCCTTGGAAAGAATCCGCAGCTTCAGCCCTCTCCAAGAGCCCTTGACCATCCAGGTGCTCACGGTGGGCAAAGCCGTGCGACCTAAGATTAAATACACCTACTATGTGAAGAAGAAGAAGGAGTCTTTCAACGCCATCCCTACGTTCTCAGAATGGGTCATCGAGGACTGGAGCGAGTGTTCCAAGTCCTGCGGGCTGGGCTGGCAGAGGAGAGTGGTGGAGTGCCGGGACCTTCACGGGCAGCCGGCTTCCGAGTGTGCCAAGGAGCTGAAGCCAGCCAGCACGCGACCTTGTGCCGACCTTCCCTGTCCTCGCTGGCAGCTGGGGGACTGGTCCCCGTGCTCCAAGACTTGTGGGAAGGGTTACAAAAAGAGAACCTTGAAATGTCTGTCCCATGATGGAGGGGTACTGCCTAATGAGAGTTGCGATCCTTTAAAGAAACCTAAACATTACATAGACTTTTGCACCCTGGCACAATGCAGCTAAGCCATGTGTGTGTGTCCCTGGGGTGGGGGTGGGGGGTTGGGGGGGCACAAATAAAGGTGGGAGGGCTGGTGTGCTGAAGTCAACAGGGCTGGAGGGATCCCGAGTACCTTGCCAGTGATCAAGGAGTATGGGTGAGTTGGACGTAGAGGTAGGTAGCAACGCAGTTAGGTCATCAGAATATCCTCCCAGTTTCAGGTGTGATAGGGTAGCTAAGGATGATTATTTATCTCTGAGCAATGATATAGCATAATAAAGCCCCAGGCATTATTACTCTTCCTTTTGTTACATCTATGACAAGTTTAAACCAAAAATAGAATCAATTGTCAAAATAAGATTAAGAAGTACTACAACCCCCAGTTTCTTGGTACTGATTTATTACTTTGTATCCTGAGCGTGGGGCAATGGAAGGCAGCAGAAAGAGAACATGGAAGTTGAAGAGGAGGCTTACTTTACCTCACAAACAGCAGAGCAAGAGAGGGGTACAACTAGGATTCTTGGCCAGCGCTGTTGGTGCCGTGATTGTGTCTTTGTAAATGTATTTGGATGAAGTTACTGGTTTCTGTATTTGTAAAAGTAGGTGAAGTCTTCAGGGGAGGGGAGGACGGTAAAGAGCGTTGAGGTATCAGATGCTGGTAAAAACTAGACCAGAAATGAGCACCTGCCTTTCTGCTCCTGTGTAAGCTCCTGTAGGGACTTGGATTGACAAAGCGACTTGTGTCTCAAGAAAGTTTGATCACACACATAGGATGTAATGCCAGCACAAGAATGGGGTGTGGAGAACACGGTCCCTAGTGTTTGGGGACATGGGCATCACAAGGTGGGAGGCTACTGAGGGGTGCTGGTCCATCCCCAGCAGCTGGTCCAACAGTCATATCCTGGTGAATGTCTGTTCAGCTCTTCTACCATGAGAGAGAATAGGACTTTTCATATGTATATAGTAAAATATGTTACTATAAATTCTATGTACTTTATAAGTATTGGTTTGTGGATTCCTTCTGAGAAGGACTATAGTTTGTAATAAATGCCTATAATAACATATTTATTTTTATACATTTCTTTCTAATGATAAAACTTTTAAGTTATATCGCTTTTGTAAAAGGGCATATAAAAATAGAGTATTTATACAATATATGTTACTAGAAATAATAAAAGAACACTTTTTGAATATGTGTGTCTGTTTCTTTTTAAATCTAACACAAAAATACTGACTCTGAAGACAGTTTTCTTGAATTCTTTGGAAATAAAATTTTGTTCTCAAGGATCTCACTGGTGGTGCAAGGGATTGTCTCAGCACTATGAAGCTAACACCATCCACTGCAGCACGACTTAGATCCCCGGCCAGGGAGCTGACCCACATGGCACAGCAGGCCTCTCCTGTCTCCCCACTGCTCCCCTCAGCAGTGTATTTCAGTCAATCTACCTGTTCTCCACCCTGTCTCTAGTGAATCCTCACACATCCAAACCTGCACCTCTGGCCTTACCCCAGTTTTTGTATGCATGAATAAATATATTTTTTTTTTTTAAAAAAGACTTTGTGCTATAGAGTTGGCTTGCATGATTACTATGAAGGACTCTAGTAACACGAATAACATGTTATTGATGGAGTATTACACATTAGTAAATTCTCAGTAAATACTGAGAAAATATTCTAGATGTTGCAGGTTAAACCATGACAATCATGCTCACCCTGCTGCTATTTGCAGGATCCTGCTATTGCAGGATGAAAGCAAACAAGCACTACAGTCACGAATGCCACGGTAGTGTTCTGATAAAACCTTACAAATATAGGCAATGGGCCAGATTTGTTCTATGGGTCCCACCCACCAATCTGTGGTGTATATCATAAGTGGGGGGTGTGGGGGGAAGATGAATTTGTAGCAGGGTGCTTCTGGGAAAAGGGGAGACTCCAGTTTCCCTGATCTACCCAAGGGAGGGTGGAGCTGAGCAGGGAGGAAAAGAAGCTGGAGAGGAGACTGGAGAGGGAAGGAGCAGGGTGGAGAGCCAGGAGGAGACCTGAGGGAGGCACATGGAGCAGAGACCCATGAAGAAGCTGCACTGGCTGCTTGGTCCTGGGCTGGGTGACACAGATGTGGGTGAGAGACCCATGGGGAGGTTCGCTATGGCAGCTTTTCTCTCAGTTTTGATTTTGTCCTTTTCCTCCCAGACTTGTTTGACTTTTCTATGGGTATCCTGCTGGATGGTGCTTTAGACTTGTGTCAGGTGTTTGGGCCTTGCTTTGGGCCACTCCTGTCTGGCTGGGCACTTACTCACGAGGCGAGGGGTAACTTTGGGTGCTTGATTTGAAAACAATATTCTTTGTCTTTTCTGTATTGTTCACTAATTGTATTAAAGTTCCTTTCCATTTCCATTTAAGGTCTTATGTTTTATCTTAATGCAGCAGATGGCAGAACTTACTTAGGGCGGGCAGATTTGGTGGTTCTGAGGTGCCCCCTTTCCTGTCCTCAATTGTATCATGTAAGTAAAATAATGTGAAAGTAGTTAAGCTACTGAGTAGAAAATGACCCCTCATAAATAACAGTAGATGTTCTTGGTGAACCATCCCTGCCAAATGACCTGCGTTCTCTGAGAATCCCTAAGGTTTTTTGAAGAAGCCATGGAGTCATTCCTCGTAGTCTTTTGTAAATACTATATTTTAAACACTAAATGGTACATCAATGATTATGAAGTGCAGACTGCTTCTGAAGGAACTATTTCTCTCAGGAAATAGCTTATTTACTAGAAGCCTCAGATTATGTGGTTAACCACAGAAATTTCCAACTTTACATTTTCATCCTTTCTTCACCCTCCTTAAAATATTTCCAAGTAGTTCATACTAATTTCAGGTTCAGGTGATGATTTCTCCTTTGCCCTCAGAATTTTCACTCTAAGCACATAAATATGACATTCGTGGGAACCAGTTGCAAAGATCAAGGCATGGCTGGGAGTGAAGAATCCTGTTGGTCTTTGAGTTAGATTTTTTTTTTTTTTAAACCCCCTGGGCTAGTGAACCAAAAGTTAAAAGTCAAGTGTTCCAGTGTGAGAGGTAGGCCTGGTCTTGGCGAACTTAAACACTGACTTTTGCCAGGCAGCTCAAGACATAAACTGCTCTTTGCACCAAAAACCCAGCACAATGAAATGCCCACGTTTGTAGGGTGACATCCCCATAGGAAGTGACAAAGAAGACGCGTATACACAGACACATGCACACGAAACTAAAGCCATTTTCAGAACATGAGAATTTACCAATGAGTCTTTGTGTGTGTTGACTGGATGCAGGCAAAGGACAAAAGTTTCCGTATGCAAAGAGAGAAAAACAGCCAAATAGTTCTCTACCACCCTCTTGGTTCTCAGCCCCAGGGAATGCCAAACAACTTGCTACGTCGCCACATGCTTTTTCAGCCTTCTGCTGGTTGACACTTCTCTTATCAAACAACTGAGCAATTTAAAATAAGCTATTTTGGGAGCAAAGAGAGGGAAGTTCAAAATGCATCCACTTGTGTGAACCTGACATGGCACCTGCTTAATAGGAGAAGAGATTTTGTTTCCCGCTCAAGTTAGGCATAAATGATGAGCTGGCATGATTTTGAGTACTATGTCGAATATACCTCATTTTCAAAGCAGTGGGCATGAACCTTTTCTAGCATTTCCCTAGTGCCCAGATAAGCAGAACTTTTGGATCAGACAGACCTTTCACACAAAAGTTGGCAAAAAATAATTTCCCACTTTTGCACTATGCCTCCTAATTAGCATTAGAGATCTGAACATGACAGGTGGTTCCTGGGATATTTAATGTAGCAGCCTCAAAAAGAGTCAAAACTATTGCATATCGACATTTCCACTCTTAGGATCGATGGCAAATCATCAAAAAGGCTCCGAATGATTGCCATACGAACAGTGCATAAATCTGAATCAGCCATCAAAGGGGGAGGCTGATCTGATGATACAGAAGGCTGGTGAACAGTGCTGCAGGTCCGCCAGGTGTTTTTTAGAAGCTAACTCAGCTAAGACTCAAAGTTAAAACTATGATAGGGAAATGACCATCATTCATATCTTACAGAGAAGGAAACAGAGGTTGAACTTCTTGCTTGAGGTAGGACAAGTTGCAAGAAACTGAGCATGATCCCAACTGAGCTCTGTACCTTAAATGCCTACATTCTTTCCACTCCCGAGAATTAAATCATACTAACCTATTGAATTGTTCACACACACAAATGCATATTAACTAAGTATTCATTTTAATTTTCTCCTTTGTACCAAATTTCTACCCCAAACTCAAATATATTCTGTTTTGTAATAAAAAGGTGATTTTTTAAAAATAAGAATGCTGTACTTAAACAATGGTGTTCAGCCAGGGTGAATTCTTTCTAATCAATGATTTTCAGATATTGAATAATTTGCTTTTTAAATTTGTTCCCACTAAGGAGTTTTTTTTTTTTTTTTAAAGTTCAAACATTACACAACACCCTACCTAAAGGAAAATCAGTCAGGTTGGTATTTAGTTAATGCTAGCCATTCCAAGAAGTCAAGGTAGATAAGCTGGCAGATTTATTACTGACTTGATATTTTAATTATTTTCCAAATGGAGTTCCATTATATAAAACTAAACATACTAAAAGCATATTTTAAATTCAAACCTTTTTTTTTGGCCACCATTTAATACTGTTTTACTCCAAAAGGAGGATGATTAATATATCCCTATGAATCTAGAGCTACTGACTTTATAATTTTGAAAAAGTCAAACAAAAATCCCAGACACTCCGCATTCAGAGAAGAATCAGAAGAATCAAACTCTTATCCCTGGTGAATTCCAACCAGGGATAGGAGAGCAAAGATTTTATACCTAAGTGTGTGAATTTCTTTGCATTATTAAGTCCTGACTTTCCAAAAGCAACCAGATGTTAGCATTGAGAAAAACATTGAACTCTGACCTTCCCAGTTCTTGAAGATTATCTATGGAACAAAAAGTTTTAGCAAAAGTCAATAGGAGAATATCAACTATGACACATAGACACGC